GACTAGCCTGCTCCTCGAGGCCCCTTCCAGCCCTAAGATTCAAAGACAAATGATGTGGAAAGATCTAGATTAGCACTTGTACCCTTTGCACTTAAGGTCTTCTGTAAGAGGGAGTTAATTGTCTAGTAGGCTCCTGTGTAAGTACCAATCTTCACCCAGGATTTCGGCAGGCTGTGCCATGCAGCTGGTGCCACCAAAGGGCGATGGATTCAAAATACTGAGGGTCAAAAACTTGAGGTGGTGGGGGCTTGTTCTGATAATCTCCCATTTCACAGTTCTCAGAATGTTAGCGCTGAAGGGGACTGGTTTGGGAAAGCTACAACCCCTTCGTGTTGGCAGATAAGAAAACTGAGGCCTGGAGTGGGACTCTGTTGCCCAAGGTCACACAGCAAGTCAGCGGCAGTGCCTGGCCTTGACACCCCAGTCTTTTGACTCTTGGTCCAGTGCTCTATTCGTGGTGCTACCATGGCTGTCCAGGAAGGCAGGGACTCCAGGGTGGCATGGAATGAGGTTCTCCTCTGATGTCCACATCCTTGGCTGAGAGAGCAAGCAGGAACCTGGACCTTGAACTTCCTAGTTCTACCCGGTGCACCTACCCAGGGATGCCGCAGGCCCCAGACAGAACTGCCTTCCCGGGCTGGCTGGCCTCCCGCTTGAAAGTTTACACGTTCCAAATTCACTTCTCCAACCCCAAAATAGGTGCTTCTTAAGACAAAGCTTTATAAGGGCATCTTCAGAAAATATATATATAAGTGCAGCACAAAACATCCTTCCCCCGGATGCAGGGCCAGCCCCTGACCTGCCCGTCTTTCTTTTTCAAGCTGTACATGGTGCGGACCATGCTCGAGTCGCTCATTGCAGACAAGAGCGGCTCCAAGAAGACCCTGAGGAGCAGCCTGGACGGCCCCATTGTCCTCGCCATAGAGGACTTCCACAAGCAGTCCTTCTTCTTCACGCACCTGCTCAACATCAGTGGTGAGCGTGGGGGCGCCCCGGTCCCAGAGCCACTGAGCTGTCAGGAGGCCACTGAGCTGTCAGGAGGCCAGAGTTGCAGAGAGCTGTGATCACTGACCCAAGGGGCACATTGGCCACTGAGGAAAAAACGCACACTTGCCGGTGGACTCTGGGAGCCAGGAAAGGCCTGGCTCAGTCCAGCTCTTCGACTTAGCTGGAAATATTTGTCCGGTAGACGTTGTGGCTGACTGGGCATGAAGCCCTTAGTAAAGGGGATCAAAATAGCAGTGCGCACAGATGCACCTAGGGCCAGCGTTTTGCATCTAAGCAGCAGCTCTGAGCCCAGTTCTGAGGCTAGTTTGCCAGCGAGCTCTGTTTTCCCCGCAAGCTTTCCAGACGAGGCATTATGCCGGGCCAAGGCCACATAGGAGAGCTCATTGCTCCTAGCAAAGGCGGCTCCCGGCTGCACCTCAGGCCTGTGTCCCCCACTCCTCTTCTGTCTGTAGGATATGTGCACAGGTGTGACAGGGCAGAGTAGAGGGACAGTAGCAGCCCAGAGTGGTGGGCGTGGTCAGGCATCTGTTGGTATTGAAGAGAGATCTTAGCCAATAGTCCCAAGTTCTTCACAGAAGCAGCCTTGGAAGGGCCTTCAAGGCCTCCGAGCAGTGAGTTCAGAATTATCACGTACAAGGGGTCACGGAGCTGCAGTTCAGGTAAAAGCAGACACCTAAGGCCTGTCTTCACACTTTGAATGACAAGTATTTTCAGGATGGCTTTGGAGCAGGGGGAGGGAAGTGGACATTGTAGGGGCACCAAAAGCTCTAAAATATCACCACCACCACCCAGCGCATGTGCGCGCGTGCACACACACACACACTGCCTCTGCCTCTGAGCTTAGCAAACCCTGTCTTCTAACGTTAGCCTGGCATTCAAGTTCAAGAGAGCAGGGTCTAAGGTCAAGTCATACCTCTGAGGACCTGCTGTGCTCCAGCACAACCATAAGAATAACAGTAGCATGCATAAACAGTCCGCTCCCAGGCCCTTCGTGCTCCGCTGTAACCCAGGCCTTTCCCTCGTGCTTTCCAGAAGCCCTGCAGCAGTGCTGTGACCTCTCCCAGCTCTGGTTCCGAGAGTTCTTCCTGGAGCTGACCATGGGCCGGCGGATCCAGTTTCCCATTGAGATGTCCATGCCCTGGATCCTGACAGACCATATCCTGGAAACCAAAGAACCTTCCATGATGGAGTAAGACGCAGGCTTGGGCCAGCGAGAAGGTTCCTGGGGTGCAGGTGGAGGCTAGTTTGCCAGGGAGCTCTGTTTTCCCCCCAAGCTTTCCAGACGAGGCATTATGCCGGGCCAAGGCCACACCAGATTTGACTCAGCCTTGCAGATAGGTTCAGAAGTCTACCAGCCCATCTGCCCCTCCTGCGCTTTGTCATTCTCTGAACAGTCATGCTGGGGGAGTGATCATCCCTGGGGATTAGGAAGCTAACTCATTTTTTCAGGCCCTGGATTTATTAGCATCATGGACTTTTGATTTTTATGGGCAGATTGTAAAGTGAGCCATTCCTAAGTGGAGGCTGGAAACAGAGAGTGCTGGAAGTTCTCCTTTTCTAGCTTTCTCCCAAATCTTCATGTCTCCGAGCAGATGGAAGTCTGGCTGCCATAAGAGAGATGGTTATTAAGCTGCTGGTCCTTGTTTTTTCCTCTTCAGGTACGTCCTCTACCCGTTGGACCTGTACAATGACAGTGCCTACTACGCTCTGACCAAGTTCAAAAAGCAGTTCCTGTATGATGAGATTGAAGCCGAGGCAAGTGGTGCTTCCCCCTCTGCTCCTGAAGGCTTATTGTAGGAGTCTGGACTTTGCCCACCTTTAGCTGTTGGCACATGTCGGGCGTCTTAATCCGTTCAAATTGTAACAGGATCACATATTGGGTGGCTCATAAACCACAGACACATGTTTCTCACTGTTCTGGAGCTGGAAGTCTGAGACCAGGGTGCCAGCATGGGCGGGTGAGGGTGCTCTTCTGGGTCACAGACTTCTCACCATGTCCTCATGAGGTGGAAGCCCAGAGGAAGCTCTCGGGGTCTCTTTGTAAGAGCACCAATCCCATTCGTGGGGGCTGCACCCTCATGGCCTAATCCCCCTCCACAAAGGCCCCCCCTCTTGATACCATCAGCCTTGGGGGTTAGGATCTCAACGTATGAATTTGGGGGAGACCATAGCATGGAATCAGTGACTGGTTCCGGAGAGAGCTCTTCATAAACATAGTGGTTGTCTTAAAGGACCTAGACCAGGATGAGGTCTTTCTTTTTCAAGGGATGGGACATGATAGGACTGCTTGGGTAAAATTAATTTTCCAATGGGTCTTTTATGGTTTGATTACTTGGCTAATAAAAACAACAGTAATATACCTATCAATTATTATGTATTTACCATTTGCCAGGCATAGTGCTAAGCACTATATAAGCATTTTAAGTAATCTACAATAATTTTAAAAAAATCTGTGCTACCACCTATTTGACAGATAATAAATCTGAGATGTCAAGGGGCCAGGTGTCATTACCCCAAGGTCACAGAGTCTCTGTATAGTACTGATAGGACTGACATAGCCATCTTTTCAATTGGTAACGCTGTTTACTAGAGAGGGTTTATTTCTGTAATAGTCAGGATAAGCTAGGTTGTGATGCAGTAACAACCAACCCCAAAGTCTTAGTAGCTTGAAACCAAAGGTTTATTTCTCTAGTATGGATTGGCTGGGGCCTCTATTCTATGTAGTCTTCAGTGTGGGACCCATCTGGAATATTTATTATTCCAGAATAAATCACATTCTGATACTGTGATACTTAAAGCTTCCACCTGAAAGTGACACAGGCCATTGGTCAAAGCAAGTCACGTGGCTGTGCCTCCTTTCAAAGAGGAGCAAGGAAGTGCAGTCCTTCCATGGGCCAGCAAGGGGCAGAAACATGAGACCAAAGGAACTAATGACGTAGTTTTACCTTCTGAAGTTGGATGATAGTCTCTGTTCCACTTAAGCAAGTGAGATTCTATAAACATGGAACAAGGCCCATTTGGTAAAATTGCCATACAAATATAGGGCATTCTTATTTATAAAGGAAAGACTTGAATGTTTTAGGGTATGCAGTGCCACCAGAGCTGCTTCATTCTTTCTAGATCCTCTAATTTCTATGGGAGTTGAAATACAATCTTCTGTGTCTCCTGACCCTTTTCTCTTCCCATCCCCAAACTCTGTTTCCCACCCTGAAGGACCTCCTGTATATGTACATGGATACCCAAGCTTCGTCTACCACCATGGCCACAAAAATGGCCTCTTGGCCAGCCCTGGGGGTGCACATACCTTCAGTATAGTTCACCCTCAAGGTTAAACTCAGGGAAAAGAGCATGCAGAGCCTAGAAGGGGCTTGAGCCACTTGGGCAAGGATGCTCAAAGCTGGTTCAAGAGGAGGATCATGGGGTATGAGTGGGCACCCCCACCTGGACCCTGCAGGCTCTTTGCCTAAAGGAGAACCAACGAACACCCTTGAAGTTCAAGTCCAGGTCGGATGCCTTGGTTACCTGCATATGAGGGCAGCACTGTCCATGCCACCTGGGGTGTAAAACAAAAGCCATGAAAGCTCTTTGAATACAGAGCTGAGAATTTGGTAAGAAAAGAATCAAAGATGAATTACCTAAATATGATCTGTTTCCTTTGACATTACACTGCCACTCCCCTTGGAAATTTCACCCTCAGCCATTTCCTGCTCTTGGTGGATTGGAGGATTGGGATTTGATCCTCTGTGTCTGATGTGAACTTCCTTCCCACCCGAGCATCACCAATGAGATGAAACATTGACATGGCAAGACGGCCCCTTGTTCGCTGAAAATCAAAGATTTATAAGTATTGTATTTTTGTGAGTGTTTAAACTTCTGATGACCATCCACCTCTTTATTTGCAAAGCAACGTTAAGTACAGTGAAAGGAAAAGACAAGAAAGTCTGTCATGAGAGGTGGCCATGGGAGGCCGACATGAGTCCTTACAGGACATGAAGACCTGCCTGTGATGTCCCCCTTGGGCTGGCCCCTTGTAACACCAAGGAGGGGACTGGTGGGGAGGGCGGTTTCTCAGCAGCTTTTTGAACTTTGCCTTCTCTGTGCCTCACTGAGGACCTTCAGAACAAGGAACAAGGTTTCCCAAAGTTGACTTGGCCATATAATCCTTTTTCTTTTTCCTTCAAAGCCTCTCGCTCCACAGCTTCAGGCAGACCTGCCCACTGCCCTCTTTGAGTTGCCCAAGTCTCTGTGGTAAAGCTGGACAGAGACCACTGACATGCTCTGCTTCCTTTTTGCCAGGTGAACCTGTGTTTTGATCAATTTGTCTATAAGCTGGCGGATCAGATCTTCGCTTACTACAAAGCCATGGCCGGCAGGTAAGAGAACCTGGGGTTTGCTGCTACAAAACCTCCCTTCATTAGCATGTAAGGAAACCTAAATGCTTCCATGGGTCTGGACTGGGAGCTAAAATGTAGGAGAGGAGAATAGATATGTCTGGGGAAGACAGACATTAATAAAAACTAGTGAATGCACAGTGACAAGGGAAGTTACGTGCTCCCTATGAATGAAAAGTTCATGGGAATATATGACAGTTCAACCTGAACTAGTCTTCGAGTGGGGAGCTGGAAAGTCTAACCTGAGGAAGGTACATTTGAGTTCATTTCTGAAGGTGATAGGAGTAAAGTAAAACTAGATGAAGGAGGGGACAGGAGGATGCAGGGAAAAGGAACTACTTGTCCAAAGTGCCTGTGGCAGAAGTATAGTAACAATAGCATGCCAGATACTACATGATGTCACTTATGTGTGGGATCTGAAAAACAGAACACACGAACAAAACAAAAAGAGAAACAAATTCACAGACACAGAGAGCAAACTAATGGTTGCCAGAGGGGAGGGGTGGATAGATGGATGAAAAGGGTCAAGTTTAATAAGAGGTACAAACTTCCAGTTATAAAATAAATAAGCCATGGAGATGTAGTGTACAGCATAGGGAATATAATCAATAATATAGTAACAACTCTGTAGGGTGACATAATTATTAGACTTATCATGATGATAATTTCTGAAAGTATAGAAATGTCAAATCACTATGTTGTACACCTGAAACTAATATATTGTATGCATTACTTAGAAAGTTCAAGAGGCTCTTGAGAGAGGATTAAGGTGAATTAGTACATGTAAAGATCTCCACAGACCACAAGAGGGAGCAAACTGCATGACAAAGCTGGAGAGATGTTGGAAGAGTTAGAAAGCACAGAAGGGAGAGAATGATCTAGATCAGTGCTGACCATTAGAAATAGAATCCAATGAGCCCTGGCCCATGAGGTTGGTTGCACCAAAAGGTTGCCTGTCAGGGCACATGCCCAGGTTCCAGTCTAGATCCCTGGTAGGGATCATGCAGTAGGCAGAGGATCGATGATGTTTTCTCTCCCTCTTCCTTTTCTCTCTCTCTCTCTCTCTCTAAAAAGAAAACAATTAAAAATCTTAAGAGAGAAGAAATATAATGCAATTATACATGTGAGCCACAAATGTAATTTTTAAAATTTTAGTTGCCATATTTAAAAAAGGAAAAATAGGCAAAAGTAATTTAGCAGTATATTTCATGTAATATGTAATCCAATATATATAAAATACTAAAGTTTCAACATGTAACAATTAAATGTTACTAGAAATAGTTTTTTGTCTAAGTCTTCAAAATCTAGAATGTAGTTTATACTCATAGTGCATCTCCACGTGGACCCACCGCATCTCAGGTGCTCAGCAGGCTCATGGGGCGGGTGGCTGCTCTCTGTACTAGAGGGTGTGCATTTAGATTGGGTCACTGTCCTGCTTCATGGCTTCCTTTCCATGACATCCAGTTACATCTGGAGAGCATCTAAACTCTTTCCTGTGGCTTAGGTAGTCCCACGTGACCTGGTCCCTGGACTAACTTTATAAGTTCATTTTTGCACCATGATCTCCACCAGGCCCTGCCCTCTATCCACACTGGCCATCTTTCCTTTTCTCAGACATCACGGCTCATTGTGCCTGAGGGATTCTTCCCCCAGTTCTGGCCATTTTTCACATGTAGGTCTCTGTCCAACAAAACCTCTCCAGAGAGGCTTTCTCTGACCTCCTCATACCAGATGGTCCTGTTTTATTGTTTTCAGAGCACTATGACTCTGCAGTGTGTGCTTCAGTATGAAAGATGATAATGGTACTTCCTACTCAGATGTGAGATGAAAAGCGACTGTATGAGTGCGTGTGCACACCTGATACATAATGAATACCATGCAGACGTACACTGTTTGGAATTATCTTATTCCTCTGCCTACTTTTTCAGTTTCAGTCTCTCTTCACTAGAACATAGACTTCCAGGGGATCAGAATTTTGTATTCCTAATGCTTAGAATGTTTCCTGTTGGGAACTGTCTGTCCCAAGCAAGGATCTGGGATATGACAAGCATGCACTCCATTTTGTTGTTATTGCTGTTGTTGATTTTTTGGTCAGTGAATAAAAGAGGAAAGTCATTCAACTTCTGTGTTGCCAGCCTTTAAGTTAGACATTCTCATTCACATATTGAGCTCTTCTGGTTGAAAAGAAATTTGAAGGACTTTGCTCTAAAACAGAAAAAAATTATACTTAAAATGCATAAGACAGTGCTTTATGGGTAGATCCTGGTCTAAAGCAGACGTGGCGGGGCAGTTGAAAACGATTCGCTGTCACGTTGGCTGGCCTCATTTAACTCTCATCCCTTCCAGTGTCCTGTTGGATAAACGTTTTAGAGCCGAATGTAAGAACTATGGAGTCATCATTCCGTACCCGCCGTCCAACCGCTACGAGACGCTGCTGAAACAGAGACACGTCCAGGTAATAGGGGATGGAACCCACAGTGGAAGTGGAACAGGCTGAGAGAGTAGCTGTGAGGGGAGCATGGAGGTCAGAAATCAGGGCTGTGCTGTCTGCACATTGCCCCGTGTGGACGTCTAAGAGGGGTGTGACACAGCCTCAGAGTCCACAAACCGGGCAAAGGCACGGGCCTCCTCTGGTCCAAGTTCCAGGCTCTCTGCTCGTCTGCAGCTCACCCCTGGGGAGCAGTGGCCACCAAAGCCTCTGTCTTCCCGTCCTAAGCTGCGGCCCACTTCCTTGCGTCGGGACTGCGCTCAGCAGTGGGTAAATGTGTCCCTGCAAGGCTCAGATGCTAGCCTAAGTGATGGAGAGCTCCGGGCCTTTGAAACAAACACAGCATGTCAGGCTAAACCCAGGGTAGAAATTATGGTTTATTTTTGTGGGGTTGGTTTCTGTGAACACTTGACCCCCAGTGTAGAGGAAATGCTGTCAGGAGCTCAGACACATATTCCTGCTTAAAAATGTTAACGGAACAAGAGAGACAAAATAAGAGCTGCCCCAGCAGACTGCTCCCTGCTCCTACGCCCTGCTGGCAGCCACCTCCTGATTGCCTGGAGAGTGAGAGTAGAGAGGGGTCTTGACATCTCTTGGGAGATTTGGGCCTTTCCGCTGTGGCCTCTGCGTGCTTTTCATGTGGCCCATGGCGTTTGTGGGAAAGACTGAGGTGAAGGGGGCCGAGCCTCCACTGAGGAGATGGTTTAGGTCAGTGGTTCTCAGCCTTCCTAATGCCGCGGCCCTTTAATAGAGTTCCTCATGTCGTGATGACCCCCAACCATAAAGTTATTTTCGTTGCTACTTCATAACTGTAGTTTAGCTACTGTTAATGAATCGTAATGTAAATATCTGCTATGCAGGATGTATTTTCACTGTTACAAATTGAACATAATTAAAACATCGTGATTAATCACAAAAACAATATGTAATTATGTATGTGTTTTCCGGTGGCCTTAGGCGACCCCTGTGAAAGGGTCGTTTGACCCCCAAAGGGGTCGCGACCCCCAGGTTGAGAACCACTGGTCTAGATGAAGAGGAAAAGGGTTCCTTAGAAACCCTGACATTCCCGTTGCTATGAGAAATGCAAGGGAAATGGAGAATTGTAACAGGAAAAAGAACATTTTTCTCCTCTGCTGACAACAGAGAATTATGACTGTCACTGATGCAGCAGAGTTAGCCACAGGGTGTTTAATACTGAGGGCTTTATGTGTGCACGTTGTGGCTTTAAGGGGCCCTTGTCAGTTAGTAGAAAATTCACCCCAGAAGACAAGTAGAAAAAATTAAACGGTTAAGAATAATCCTTGGGTACCTAGAAAAGTGCAGGGCACAGAGCAGGTGGTCAATAAATGTTTACTGCTCTCTCCATAGCATCTGCAGGGCTGCCCCTGTGTTCCCCAGTAGAAATTATTGTAAGCTACATGTTCCGTTCTGTAACCAGCCCTTCATGCTCCTGCTTTTAAATTCATCCCCACAAAGGCACACAACGGCCTTTTGTAGGGATGAATTTAAATGCTGAGGGGTGGCTATTCCCGGTGACTGTGAATTGGGGCACAGGGCAGATTCAGGAAGGAGCTCAAGGCTAATTTAGGATGTTAGCATTGCACGGATGCCAGAGCCTGTCCTGCAGTATGAATAAATTGTATTTTCCCTCAGCATTTTATATTTCAAAACTACAGGAAAGTTGAACAATGAGCACATATATTCTTTATAAACAGATTCATTATTAATGTTTTACCACTTTCTCTTTCTCATGTATATGTTTTCTCCCACAAATGCAGCACATATATAAAATATATTTATGTATAAATATAAATAGTATATGGAAATATATATTTTAAAGAATATACTATTTGCCCAGCCAGTGCAGCTCAGTGGTTGAGCATTGACCCATAAACCAGGAGGTGGAGGTTTGATTCCCTGTTAGGGGGCATGCAGGAGGCAGCTGATCAATGATTCTCTCTCATCATCGATATTCCTTCTCCCTTCCTCTCTCTGAAATAAAAGTATATATATTAAAAAAAAAGGAAGTGGGCCGCAGCTTTTTTTTTCTTAACCATTTGAGAATAAGTTGCATATATCATGAGCCTTCACCCCTGAACACCTCAGCACCTATCTCCTAAGAACAATGACATACATTCTCTCGAAATGAAAATAGAATTGCCATACTCAGGAAATTGGACAATGCTCTTTTCTACAGAGTCCCCATTTGTCCCAGTTATGACCTTTATACTTTTAATCCAAGTTCCTATCAGTGCATTGCATTTCATTGTCATGTGTCTATGCAAATCTTAAGTAACTTCTCTCTCTCTTCCTCTATTTCTCCTGTCCAGCTCTTGGGTAGATCAATTGACCTGAACAGACTCATTACTCAGCGCATCTCTGCCGCCATGTACAAATCCTTGGACCAGGCCATCAGCCGCTTTGAGAGTGAGGACCTGACCTCCATAGTGGTAAGAGATGGGACGATCTGGGATTCTAGCTGGATGTTGTTGTGAGCTTAGTACTGGGCCAGTTATAGAGGGCAGCAAGTTTCCTTCCTATCTGAATAGAGCAGGAAAAATAGACTTAAGAATGAAAATAATCTTACTCTCCTGATTGCCTGGGGCTCTGTGCTGGGTTTAATGCTCTGCTCTTGCTGTCTTAAAACTCTTAGTAGCTTTTTTAAAAATGTATTTTATTGATTTTTCACAGAGTGGAAGGGAGCGGGACAGAGAGCCAGAAATGTCAATGAGAGAGAAACATCAACCAGCTGCCCCCTGTACACCCCCCACTGAGATGCTCCCACAACCAAGGCACATGCCCTTGACCAGAATCGAACCTGGGACTCCCCAGTCAGCAGGCCGATGCTCCACCCACTGAGCCAAACCAGCCAGGGCTCTTAATAGTTTTTTAACGAAGGTCCCCTCATTTTCATTTGCCAGGGGACCTGCAAATTATATAATCGGTCCTGATGCATAAGCATGGACCTTCCTTCTCCTATTAAACAGCTTGTGAACTTCTCTATATTAATTCTGTCCAAGAATTAGAGTAAGCTTGATTGATCAGTCAGTCTTTAAGTGAATCAAAGGAAGGCTTTAATGCTTTCAAAAGCAGATGAGTAGAAGGAATGAAGTCACCATTAGATTACTACATGGATGCTAAAATTAGTGGGCAGAATTTTTTTTTAAGATTTTTTTTTATCGATTTATTTTGGGGGGAGAGAGTGCCAAACATTGATTGGCTGCCTCCTGCACGCACCCTACTGGGGATTAAGCCCACAACCCAGGCATGTGCTCTGACCTGGAATCAAACTGGCAACCTTTTGGTGCACAAGATGACACCCAACCCACTGAGCCACATCTGCCAGGGCAGTGGACAGAACTTTAAGAAAAACATATTATGATTCCTCTTATTAGGAGATTCCCAGAGTAGCCAAATTCATGGAGACAGAAAGTAGGGGAGTGATTGTGGGGAAGGAGCTTTAGTGTTTAATGGGTACGGAGTTTCTGTTGAGGAAGATTAAGAAGTTCTGGAGATGGATGGTAGTGATGGTTGCACAATAATGTGAAGGTATTTAATGCCACAGAACTGTACATTTAAAAATGCTTAAAATGGTACATTTTATGTTATGTATATTTTCCCATAATAAAAAAATTACCCCCAAAATAACTTTGGAAAGAAACAGACTACTTGCATAATAATATCAGATTATCTCCTTCAAGACATTTATTTGCTCCAAATAGAAGAATAGTAAGTTCACAATGGGGAGACTTAGCAGACACCCTCTTACCCAGGCATCAAAGGTAGTAAGGAATAAGATATATTCATGTGTCTCCTGATATGTATTTTTCTGTGGTGTTCTTCCCAAAATGCATAATCTCAATCTAATCATGAGAAAAACCACATACACCCAAATCAAAAACAGTCCCTCAAAAGAAACACACACACACACATAGGGAGCAATACTTTTCAAAAGCATGTAGATCATAAAAAGCAAAGAGAGACTGGAAGCTACTAGAGATTGGAAAAGACTAAATGCAAAGTGGGTCCTGATTGAATTCCAGAGCAACAAAAAGCACCTTTGTGGACAAACTGGGGAAATTCAAATAAGGTCTGTCGTTGAGTTAATAGCATTGTGCCGACGTTAATTTCCTACTTTTGATAATCATGCCATGGTTATGTAAGAGGTTAACGTTGGTTAAACCGGGTCCGGGGTATGCAGGAACTCTGCTGTTTTCACTTTTGTGTAAGTCTAAAATTATTTCCAAATAGAAAGGTGTTTGCTTGTTTTTAAGTGGACACAGGACTTTTTTAAAAAGTAGAGCTCCAGAGTCAGAAAAACCAGTGGGTGCAGTCCTGACCCTGCCTCTTACTGGCTGGGTGCTCTTGGCAAGTTATTCATCTTCTATAAGCCTGTTTCCCTACCTACACTGTGGAGGAAAGATTAGCATTCACCTCATGGTGTTGTTGCAAGGACAAAAGGAGCCAGTCTGGAAAGAGCTTTGCATAGTTCATTGCACTTAATAAATAAATAGGCCTGTGGGGAAAAACAGAGAGGAACACAGGGATCTGGAGCTGCAGGGAAATGTTCTCGGGGTGAATTTTCAACAGCGTTTCCTAAGAGGACTTGATCCAGCTGCCCACCTCAGCCTAGGTCCCTTACGGGAAGAGACTGTCATGTAGCACGCCTCCTTCCAGGACATCTATTTTAAGAAACAGATTTTTCTTTGTTTATGCCAAAATGTTAGCAGTGATTATCTCCAAGTAGTAGGACTTTTGTTTTCATCTTTTTAAAAAATCTATCTGTATCTTCCAGTTTTCCAGTAATGAATGAGCGTATCGGGTGGGAAAACTGGTTTGGGGTGTGCGTGGGAGTGCATGGCCCAGCCCTTGAAAGGCACTGACTGCTCTTTGAGCCGACAACAAAACAAGCATGAAAGCCGGTGTTTACCGGGTGAGGATGATGGCCCCCAGGAGAGCAGCCACTGCCCCTGACGCCCTTGAAGAGGAGGCCCCAGGGACTCTCCCCCCTATGGGGTCAGGAGGCCCCCCCTCACCTCTGCTGAGAGGCTTCTGCCTCTTCTAAAAAACAAACCCAGGAATGTGCTGCCCTCAGCCCTTCCCTCCACCTAGAAACTCCTATCTGAGATGGGGAGGCAGCCTGATGCCGAGTGGGGAGGCTGCAAACATTTCCTGTCAGTCACCATTCTCCTATGCTACGCAGCTCGGTAAATAGATGCTCCAAGAGAGCTGTGAAAAGCTGAAGCTGACCCCGGCCAGTGCCAGTGTGGCTCAGTGATTGAGCATTGACCTAGAAACCAAGAGGTCACAGTTCGATTCCTGGTCAGGGCACATGCCCAGGTTGCAGGCTCGATCCTGGGTCATGTAGGAGGCAGCAGATCAGTGATTCTCTCTCATCATTGTTTCTATCTCTCCTCCCTTCCTCTCTGAAATCAATACAAATGTGTGTGTGTTTTTTAAAAACAAAACAAAACAACAAACAACAACACTGCAGCTGAGAGCTGGCAGCCTGAGGCTGCAGAGCATATTTGAAATTTTGAGCCAACATTAAAAATGTGGAAGAACACAAGTTAATGTGCAGAAGCTCTGGCAGCACCAGCCCAGCCCTCCCAGCTGGTAACCATTGCCTAGATGTGCCTGGCAGCTGGACTGTGCTGTCAGTTTGCTGCCAGCTCCCCGGACACATCATTCATGGATCTGACCTACCAGCTCTCACTGACCCTGGGTTCAAGAATCCAGATCTTCTTGCCTCCCTCGGGCCACAGAGCTGGTCACCAGGCCCATGTGGCTGACACTCGGGTTTCTGGTTGCCCTTGAAGAGCTCTTCCCATACTTCACAGAATTGCCCCTTTGGGTATTTTATTTCCTCAGTAAACCGACTGTACTGTGGAATGCTGACATCCTCTCTGAAGGTGTCTGAACCACTCACGTGCCTTTTAAACCCTCTGCACCGAGCCCTGGATCCGTCCCACAGGCAGGGGCCCTCCTGAGGGAAGCCAGGAGAACATGGCTGATGCAAGACCACAGTTGGGATTACGTCACAAAGAAACACCCTTGTGCTGCTGCACGGCAGGCACTGGACCTCCACTTCCAGCAGCCCCCACTTCCACTCTCTTGGTCTCCCTTGTCAACACTGACACGCATTCCTGAGACCGTGAAGAGCACAGAACAGCAGGACAGGAGTGGTTCCCTGCTTTCCTATCTGCAGCTATCTTCCCCACAGTGGGACAACTCGTGGATCTCAGAAATGCACTCCTTAGCGTTTACTCTTTTTATTATTGTTATTTTGGTGTGTTTTTTTTACCCATCCCAAGTGAATCGAAACCAGGATGAGGTCCAGCTAGCTGGGCCAAGAGAAGAAGCGGAGAGCTGATCTGTGTGTCTGCCCTCCTCTACCTCACGGTGCACAGGGACTGGACTCTTACTCTTCAGCTGCCACTTCAGAATTGGAACCCAGATGTTGACCTATTTTTGAGAAGTGGCAGGATCTGCTCTCACTCAGCCCCTTCCCGACACCACAATCAGATGGAGTTTAATAGCTTTGCCTTTCTCTGGACTGGGCGCTCCGATTTGCCACAGACAACCCAGCCCCACGACTCCCTCCTGTCCCGCTTGGCCCACTTACCTGACCTGCAGCCATTTAGTTTGCAAGCTGCGATCCAGGTCTGTGCCCCCAGTTTAGAGCCACAGAATCTGAATTTCAGAGAGGCTAAGCTCCAAGTTGTGAGGCGTGGCCTGGGGCCTCCACCTGACCACACACGGGACCCCGACCAGGGTTCAGGGGGCCTTGTGGCCGATGAGAACGAAATAGAGTCGCTGGTGTGGGGCTGCCTCCTGAGACCACAGATAATTAAACTGCATCTAACTGTCCCACCTCCGGGCTGCACTCTGGTGAACTGCCTTTCTGATGTTCTCTTTGCTTTTATGTTTTAGGACCATCCTTATTTTCAGAGGGCTTTCTTAGCCGTGATTTCTTTACTCCAGGCAGCTATCTGTGTCACAGGGGCCAAACACACACGATTTGGGGTCTAAAGACCTGGATTCACATCCTAAGCCCCATTACACGCATTTGCATGTGACCTGGTTCCCTTCCTGGGACAGGCATGCAGCCTGGGCAACAGCTGTCAATCAATTCCTTCCCCTCAGAACAAGGGAACATTGTCACATGCCACTGCTGGGGTCCTGGTCCCCATGCCGGCAGTTGGGAGGTTGTGTGAGGGGCTCTCGCCTGTGACAGGAATGGCTCAGACCAAGTGGTGCACACCTGTAAGGATGTGTGCGTCCTCAGCAGCTGCGGTTCTCTCTCGGCCAGGAGCTGGAGTGGCTGCTGGAGATCAACCGGCTCACGCACCGGCTGCTGTGCAAGCACATGACCCTGGACAGCTTCGACGCCATGTTCCGGGAGGCCAACCACAACGTGTCCGCCCCCTACGGCCGCATCACCCTGCACGTCTTCTGGGAGCTGAACTTCGACTTCCTCCCCAACTACTGCTACAACGGATCCACCAACCGGTAAGGAGTCCCTGTTGGAGGGGGCGGGGTGAACTGGGGCCCTGGGAGCAGCCAGCTGCCTCCTCCAAACTAGGCCCAACCCAAAGGTCCGTTCGTCCCTGCCGCAGGCATCTCACAGGGCCTCTCCTGGGTGCAGGCTCTGTGCTGATGCCTTCCTGCCTCTTGGAGCCTTCACGCCACTAGATCAAACAGTCACACAATCTGTGAAACGATGTATCACACAGTAAGTGTGTTATGATAAGCGGTGAACATGGAGATGGAAGAAAGCCCACGGAGCCACGAGAGAACAGCCCCACCTGATCCAGTCCGGGGAGCCATGCACACCTCAGGAGAGGCTTCCTCCTCTGAGCAGGCGTGCTTGAGTTGCAGTGCGAAGGATGAGGAGACAAAAATAAAGCAAAAAGGCAGAAGAGTATTCCAGGCAAAGTTTCTAAGGAGCCAGGGAGCTGGTAAGGGTGGAGCAGGTGGGATGGGGAGCGGTGCCATGAAAGATGCGGCAGGATGCAGGAGGAAGCAGGACCAGACTGGACTGCTCCGCAGACCACATTAGGATCGAGCATTTATGAACCTTTAAGGAAGGGGAGTGACATGATCAGATGGTACTTTTGTGAGGACATATGGGAATGTATGTGTGCAAACAGGCATATGTGGGCAGAGCACACACATGCATGGCAAAGTGGAGCATGTCTCCTGCAGGTGACCTCAGCCCTGGGCCAGGCACCAAGGTAGAAACAAGACCTGATCCCTTATCCCCACAGAGGTTCAAAACCTGGTGGAAGAGGTGAGAGGTATTCACTTCAAAATAAGTACGTTAGGATGAGCAAAACTGGGCACAGGTCCTCTCCGTATCCGCAGGACCGGCATTCAGTAAGCATGTGCTGAGTGACTGGGAGGTCTGGGAGGAATCCACCGATGCTCCTGAACCCACGCACTTAGCAAGACGCACTTCCTGTTCTCTGAAGATTTGGGACCTTTAATCTTCTTGAGCAAAAGTCTACAAACCCTGGCCCACACGCCACAACCAGTTCCCCGCTATTTTTGTACAGCCCATGAGCTAAGAATGGTATTGATGTTTTTAAATGGTGAGGGAGACGGGGAATCCAAAGAAGAATCCTCATGTGTTGGCAAGTGGAAAGTATTTGAAATTCATAGGAACTCAGCCACGCTCATTCATTTACTGTTGTTTACGGGAGCTTTCCTGCGACCAGCAGAGCGGATTTATTTGCAGCAGAGACCATCTGGCTGGCAAAGCTGAAACTATTTGCTGCCTGGGCCTTTACAGAAAGAGTTTGCAGAACCCTGCTCTGGGGAAACCCAACATGGGCCTGGGGAGGTGGAGAGGTGGGGCCCTGGAGAAGGCCATTCTCAGGCCCAGCCCACTGTCACGAGCAGCCACAGGCCCCACATCAAGCCTGTGAGTCTGGACCTCAGCTTTCCCATCTTTGGGGAGGAGGCAGTGGTTGGGTGGGAGTATGTCGGAGGCACCCACTTAAGAAGTGGTGTGGTTGCACCTGGTCAGGAAGGGTCCCACTACATCACGTCCCCCGAAGAATATCAGGACTCGGTTAACGCCTGCCCCATCTTTCCTCTCCTAGTTTTGTCCGAACTGCCATTCCTTTCACCCAAGAACCGCAAAGAGATAAACCCGCCAACGTCCAGCCTTATTACCTCTATGGGTCCAAGGTGAGTCGTCTTACCCGGGTCCTACCTCTAAAGGGGCTAGTGAGCAAAAGCAAATAGAAAAGTATTCCCCGAAAGAGAAAAGCAAGGAGTGGAGAAAAGGAGGCAGCAGTGAGATCCAGGCGGAAATGACAGTGAGTTTATTCATCTTTATTAGTTCACAACTAGCAGGGAGGGGGGTGAATTCCAGCCAGGGGCTGCATCCTGCGCGGGGACGTTTTGGGGAGGGGAGCGGGCAGTGCATGCATGGGGTTTCTCGTCTTGGCGTTTCCTCTTGCCTCCTGTTTCTCGGCTGATTCGAGGTGGCATCGTCCTGGGATTCTGGGGGTTGTGCTCTATCGATTTAAGGGGTTCGCAGGCAGGAAGCAGTTGGGAAGGGGAGCTTTGACTGGAGCTAGAACTGAGCAGCTTTGTTCACAAGCACCCATTCTGACGCTACACGTTCCCAGTGGTGCCTGTGTTAGACCTTCCGTCCACTGCCGTGCGTTGGACAGACATTTATTCAACATCTGGGAAAGGCCAGACACTGGGCTGGGTTTTACATGCTGGGGGTGTAACAAATTGAAGCAGACGTCACTGCTGCCCTCCTCAAGTTCCAGTTCCACCTCATGGTGACGACAGGGAGCAACATTCACAGTCTCCCCATCATGACGGATGGAGGAGATTCGCTTCTACCCCAGGGGGTTAAGGGAGGACTGAAGAATGCCACTGAAGTGGTGAGGTGTGTCAACAACAAATAAAATGGCCACCTTTGACCCCATTTTCCGATGAACTTAGAAGAGGAACCGACTGGAGAAACATGGCCTTGTTAGGAAAGGTGGTCCTCTGGGCTGGGAGCCCGGGGTTAGGAAGGGTGGTGAACCCAGATGCGTTCCCCCCAGTCAGGCCTAGAGGTGGGGCTTAGAAGGGCTCAGGCGGTGCTGGGAGGTGTCTTCTCCAGAACAGGCAGTCTGGTCCAGGCAACGTTCTCATCGCGGCGCCGACTCACAGCATTTTAGATGGTTCACAGCCACAGCATTAAATCCCAGGGACTCACAAAGTAAGAACACCTCCCTTTCCACTTCTCTTTCAAACCTCGTTGGTTATATCGAGGAGACAGACTCCATATTGGTGCTAATAGGTCTTTCGTACTTCAATGCTTACTAATCTCCCCTTTTATCGAAGAATAGAAAGCAGGCTTTAAACTTGGAGTCTTTAGTAGGCAGTAGTATCTAGGTCAGATTTATTATTTTATTTTATTTCTATTTATCCTTATATCTCTTTATGGCGAGAGGGTGTCAGTATTCGTGTTTGGATTCATGTACAGCTTCCTTTTAAAATAAGTTTAAGTTTTAAAACACGAGTCAATTTAAAACTATTTGCTAAGAACAGTAAAGATGGTATCTGGCTTAAAAAACAAAACAAAAGTAATGTCTGAGGTGGTATGTGATTGCCTGAAAGTTGGAAAACAGGCTGGGGTGAGCCTTCGTCCACTTTTCCAAAACAGCCTCCCCAAAGCAGAGGCTGGGCTTCGGCCTGAAGCTGACTGGCCGCGTAGCTCACGAGCCCGTCTTCACCTCCACAGCTCCCCTGAAGTCCTGTGTTTTGTCAAGTCATGCACATTTCACTTTCTACATTGTAAGGTATTCACATTCGTTTTCATGTTAAAATAGGTTTTTATATTTCTAACTGCACCAGCCCCCACTGGGCCCCCCCGTGAGAGGCCATGCTTCTCCTGGAGCACAGCATGGGGTGAGTCCTCCGGCTTGAGGAGTGTGGTCGCTGAGCCAGGTGATCCACAAGAACACTGAATTTGCGGGGAGACATGGAAAGTCTATGGACACATTTTTACAAAGGAACTCCTGTGTGGAGGGCTTGATGCCACAGATTAGGGGCTGCCTCCTCCCCACCTCTCACCCCTCAAAATGAGGCAGAATGCCAGGTTGGCCACCACCCTCCCTCTGGGGGGCACCTGCGTCGGGGGCATCCGGGTCGTCTTCGGCATCTGCATCAGCTGCAGCTGCGGCGTCGGCTGCGGCTTCGGCCTCCGGTTCCACTCCAGCTCCTGAATCTCTGCGTGGCATTTCCACCAGGGGGACCCCCTGCTGGTCTTCCTCCTCCTGATCAAGAGCGGGGCCGTCCCGCGGCCATCTCACCAGCCCATTGGCTTCCATTAGGTGGGGCTCTCTGTAAGACCAGCGTGGCACATGGCAGCGGATGCACCAGTACTGGAGGCAGATGAAAGCAAGCACAGCCGTGAAGCAGGCCAGCAGAATGGCCAGCAGGACCCACAGGGAGAGCTGGGGGTTTACCAGGTAGCCTCTGGGAACCAGCGGGTTCTTATCCGGGGTGTAGAACATGGTGCAGTGATGCTTGTGGGGGTAGGTAATCTTCTTGCAGCTGACGCACAGGAAGTAGAAAGTGGAAGGGGCGAGATGCTCGAGGGCCACCCTGCTGACGGTTCGAGGCACCTTCTCCTCATAGTGGAAGCTGTTGCGAATGTAGCCGGTGAAGATGTTGTTCCAGTTGGCCCTGTACATGACATTGTAATGGTCCTCCTGGCAGGGCTCCAAGGGCTTCCAGGAAACGATGGCTCTCGAAGAAGAAAGGTTCCACACCTCGATTTCCATCCTGATCCTGCAACCAGAATCAGAGTGAAGAGTGACTTCCCCTAAATTATGCATGATCATCACAGCCACTCTTTATGGAGCATTCGAGATGGAGACTCATATTACCCCCATTTTACAAAGAAAATGGAGGCCAAGAGGCAACGTTACTAGCTAGGCATAGCTAAACAACGGCAGGACAGACGTCCCATCAGGGCTCTCTCATGCCCAAGCTGGTGGCCTTCAGACCGAAAAAGGATGGGCCCACATTCCCCAGTCCCGTCCTGCCCTGGTTCAGATCCTTTACATACCACGTTGTGCCCAAGCCTTAAAAACAAGAAGAAAAAAGGCAACGAAAGGAGGAATCGGGACCACCTCAGAGTCCCTGCGTTAGTCACCACGGGTCTGAGACCTGCAAGCCAGGCAGGTATTTCACCTAAATTTCCCTTCTGGACCTCTTGCATCTTCTCTAAGTGCTGGTAGCTCCACCATCTAGAACATTCTGCCTCCCAGTTCCGTTGCTCATGGCGAGAGATTTGTTTTGTCACCCATGGGCGGCTCATTTCTCCCGAAAGCCTCTGCTCTTGTTGTGTTTGTTTTATCAAAGCCAAAGGTACCCAGGAAATAGTTTCATAGATCAATACAATCAGCTGCTCATACCAGCACAGCTGCTACTCTTTATTACTACTGGGACCATGAATGTTAATAATGGTAATAACCATCAGTTAGCAAGCCGTTGCCCTCTCGCAGCTCTTGCTAGCTGTTCAACCTACAGTAACAAGTTCCCTTTATTCGTCATCACACCCTCTGAGCTAGATTTCCATTCTACAGATGAGCAATCTGAGATGACTCAGCTAATAGGAACCAGCCTCAAAGCCACTTCACCGCTGGATATTCAGAGCAAGGTTGCTGGGATTAGTAATAATAGAATGTTACTGCGACAGGAGATGCTGGTGCTAGGACCCGTTGCTGTTTTACCAGACAGATCCAGCGAGCTGTCTTCAGATTGCCAGCCCTCTGGCTTTGGGAAGGGAGCGCCATCCTCAGGCCTTTTCGTTTCTTTTTCATTCTGCGTTTTTCCCCCTCACTGAATTTCCCCTCATCGAAAATCCAGGGGCAGCCATATTCAACCTGCGTATGTTGACGTATAGGTCTCCCCCTGCTCTGTCCTCTGCTCCTCCTCTCCCATGAAATATGGACGGTTTTGTTTCAGGTTGCAGTGACACAGTCAGAAAACAATCCGATTTTAACTAGAATTGGAAATTAAGCCAGACTGGCTTCCAGGAGGAGCTGCTCTCCTCCCTGCCCCCCCCCCTTCTGTCTTCCTGCCCGTGTTCCCAGAGGGGGTGAGCTGCAGAAAGATGCAGTCCTTGTTTTCCTTCTCTAAGGATGACAGTGAACTGAAATGCTCAGGAAGGGGAATCGTTTCTTCCTATGTGGCTGGAAATTTCCTCCCAGAAAAATGGGGCATGAAAGGGACAAAACAGGTGTGTGAGCTCGGATCCCTCCAGAGGAGGTCATTGCGAAGGAGACTGACTACGTACGCTCCCTCTCATGCACACCCATCCACGCCACCCAGCACCCCACACATCCCTGTAAATATACCTCCGACCACAGTGAAAGAGCTTAATTCATGACTAAGGACCTAGAGGCAATGGCCCTCGTAAATCGCTTCCATCAGGGGTGATGAGCAATCCGTTTCTTGTCGTGAACCTTCTCCCCTGTTTGCCTCCCCTCTGCAGCAGGCTGTCTTTGCAGACTGAGTTCCCCACAGCAGACATTTTTAAGAGCTTTCTGTCAAGATGCTAACAGCATCCTCAGCTTTTAGGACCAAATCTGCCTCCCTTAATTTTTCTTCCTCTGCTTCTGTTTGGAAACACACACCCCCGTCCACCCCCTGTGCGTAGCTATGTATATTACCATTGCCTGGCCCTCCTCCAAGCGGAGTGGGAAAGGAAAAGCCATTTCCATTTCCAAGAAGAGCCGTTTTCCCTCTTACCTGATGCGTGTGTGCTGATGCCAGTTAGAGCGTAGCCTTCAGAGGCAGGGTGGACCCGAGCTAAGGGAATGATGCCTTTCCTCCTCTGCTCTGGGCTCTCCTTGATGTCTCTCTCACCACCGTCTGAGTAATCCCACTGCCGCCCCCAACGCTCACACTATTCATTTCTTCAGATCAGCATCATTCACCATGGCAACCAGCAGGCATAAGTACGCAGGATGCTTTCGGGACCAGTCTGGAAAGGCTTTTGTCCAATGAGAGGAGCTCTTGTTTATTTGGGGGAGAAAAAAAAGGCAAACAAATCTGATCCTCAGAGTGGTATTAACTCTTCCAAGGCTCCTAAATTTTCTAATTAGCTCAGGGTTTTTTGTGTTCTTTTTGTTTGGTTGTTTTTGTGGGTTTGGGCGGGGGGGGGGGGGTGCCCCATCTAAATACTCTTTGGCCAATGATTTTGAATGCAAACATGCCCTTCTCTATTATCCCACAACTAAAACAGTGATTTCATCTCCCTCCCACCTCACCCCACTCCCACCCCTACATCCTATCCCACCTCTGCAGTCTCTTCTTCATTCTGGTCGCCTGTGGCATTACCTAGGTATATGACACAGGTCAAGAGTCTTTTATTCTCTGGGCCTCAGTTCTATCATCTGTAAAGCTGTGGGCATGGGCTACATGGGGTGGCAGATAGAAGACATGGGTCCTACCCCTGTCCAGTCCTGAACCTGTGTCAGGCTTACTAAACCATCGTGGTTCTTGTTCTGGGTTGGTTTGAATGTCCCCGCAAAATTCACGTCCACACAGAACCTCAGAATGTGACCTTATTTGGGAAGAGGGTCTTTGAGGAATTAGTTAAGGATCTCAACATGATCTTATACTGGATGTAGAGGCAGTCCCAAACCCAATGACTGGTGTCCTTCGGAGGAAGAGGAGAGGGAGATGTACACACCGAAAGATGCCACGGGAAGAAGCTGTGTAAAGACAGAGGCCGAGAGTGGAGTGATGCCGCCATAAACCAAGGAACGCAGGGGTCACCAGCAGCTGGAAGGTGCAAGGAAGGATTCCCCCCTGGAGCCTTCAGAGGCAGCGTGGCCCTGCTGACTCCTTGATTCCAGGCTTCTGGCCTTCAGAACCGTGAGAGATGTGAGACTTCTATTGTTTAAACCCACCACATTTGTGGTGATTTGTTACAGCAGCCACACAGAACTAATACAGCGCTCCTCCCACTGGGGCTCAGAAACAGCCTCAGATCCTTCTTAACACAACCCTCCAAGAAACTGCCATCAGTCAATCATTTGGAGTTGACACCAGAAACTCTTTACTACTCCTGGGATGGATGTTCACCAGAGTTCCTTTTCTTTAGAGAATCCTGACTTTGCTTCCTTGCCCTTTTTCATTTCCCTGCCTCTGAGCCTCTATCCCCTTCTTTTCCCCCCACCTTAGAAGAATACATGACCACTGTCTGTTGGAGAGATCAGAGGGCAGGCTGAAATAGAGAATGCAGTTCTGTCATCTTAAAGCCACTGAGCCCGAGGTAATCTGTTACAGCACCCCTAGCTCAGATAGATGGGAACCTGAGTTATTTACACAAATTATGTGTTGTTAAAAGTCAGCTTTTTTCTTCTCAGTTCCTGGCCAAAGTAGCCAAGTGCACCCCTGAAGGTTTCCTTGTGATTCATGTTAGAGATAATCAAAAAATCGCAAAGAGTTGCCTGATGAGTCACAGAAACCACCCCCACCCCCACCCCAACCAAAAAATTGGTTAGCCGTGCTCTGTGACTTTCCCGTGGCCTTGGTTAGCGGTGCTGTGTGGCTTTCCCGTGGCTTCGGTCCTCCCAGGGGCCTGTCACAATCTGCTGTAATTCTTGCTAATGGTAGCTCCCCACAGCGTGCGGAGGCATCCTCTCCACAGAAAGGCCAGTGTGCTAGTCTGCAGGTGCCTTTTGAAAAGGTTATTTTGAGGGGAATAAAAATACCAATTAAGGAGCCTGTGGAGTGATAAAATAGAACTCAAGCCTTTGCCACGGAAAAGGGAATTTCTTTTTAATGCTTCTGGCTGCCATTTGAACACTGAGCATTTTATTGAGAAGTTGAGATGCTCAGAATATGAGGCCTTACAAGTCCTTTGGCTTCATGGATCCTGAGAGAAGGGACCGCATTCCTCGGGCCATGGCAGAACCTGGGGATAGAAACCGAGTCCCTGGCCGGGGGTCGGCCTGCTCCTTTGGGCACCACCATTCACCAGCATCCAGGGCAGCCAGTGCCATGCTCGGTGAGGGAGGTCAATGGCCCAGGAGATCACATCCCAGCCACGAGCACCTGGCTCACCTTCAGGGAGGCCCATCTGCAGTGTATCCGCGTTGTAGGCTCTGCCCCGGGTATAGACCAGGCTGTGTACACCAGATATAAATCAGTGCCTGAGGAAATCAGCCAGGAGTGGGGTTCCTGTGCCCTTCCTGAAGGTGGCGGTAAAGGGTCCAAAACTGACTGGCACCTAGGGCTCAGAGTACAGGCCCTGACCCCTCCCAGGCTGGGCTCACATCTGACCTGTGTGGCCTTGGACGAGTTCCGTCACTTTTCATACCTTGGGGAACTCCTGTGTAAAATGCAGGTGTCAATAATGCCTGCCTTAGAGTGTTGTAGCAGCGAGATGAACCCCTCTCTACAAAGTGCTGGCTCTGGAAGAGTAGCCGTGATTACTAAGAAGAGGTCAGTGGGTCAGAGCCATTTCCTGAGTTGGTTAGTCCACAGGCTGCAACGGGCAAGGCTTGTACCCTGCACGATGCTACCCTCCCTTAGGAATCTGGAGGCCAAGTGCACCTGCCCGAGCCTGAGAACTCTCACTTCAGGTCGGGATTAATATTAAAGGTAAAAAAGCTTCATCAACTGATTAGTAATCAAAATTAGCACATGAGCCCAAACTTTAAAAGTATATTATCTAAGCAAAGTAAATGATATAGAATATATCATACAGCTACCTTCCCAGTGATGCCGATTGGGGCACAAATCATTCTTTCAATTATACCAGTGATTTCCAGATCATTTTTTGGTCTTTAGAAAGTATTGGTGTGGTCCTCACTGGCTACATGATGCCCCACGGTGTGACTTGACCTCAGGGAAATGTATCCTAGTCCCGCAATGCCTTCCCCATTCAGTCATCGTCCTGAGGGGCTTTGCTGTAACAACCAGCTGGGTCCATACCTGGGCGCAACCTCTGGCCACGGGGCCTGACCTGGGGAGTCTGCCTTGGCCCTGCGGACAACACCACCAGCAGTGCCACCCACTTTGCTGCTGCCACCCCTACTCGTGTCTGCGTGGTTACACTCCCAGGATACACGTCATTTATTCACCATCTAGAGAGTTTCATGATTTTGGCAATTTATACATATAGCAGAATATCATCTTGTATTCCCCCTCAGGCAAGTCACCTCACTTAGATTCCTCCTCTGCTAAATGGGGATGGTTGCACCTGCCTCACCTGGTGCTGTAGGCTGGTAATGGCCCCCAGAGATGTCAGGCCCTGATCCTGGGACCTGGGAATGTTACTTGTTTTGGATAAAGGGCTTTGCAGAGGTGACTAAGTGAAGGATCATATGGTAGGAAGATTATCCTGGGTTAGCAGGATGAATCCTAAATGCCATCACAAATATCCTTATAAGAGGGAGGTGTGCCCGGCCGGCTCAATGGTTGAGCATAGACCTATGAACCAGGAGGTCAGGGTTCGATTCCAGGTCAGGGCACATACCCAGGTTGTGGGCTTGATCCCCAGTGGAGGTTGTACAGGTGGCAGCCAATCAATGATTCTCCTCATCATTGATGTTTCTCTCCCTCTCCCTTCCTCTCTGAAATAAAAATATATATTAAAAAAAAAGAGGGAGGTTACACACATACAGAGGAGAAGACCAGATCTCAGCAGAGACATTGGAAGATTGGAGTGATGCAGCCACAACACAAGGAACGCTGGTTACCACCAGAGCTGGAAGAAGCAAGGGACGAATTCTTCTCTAGAGAGTCTGGAAGAAGTGTACCTGCTGACCTGATCGTGGCCCAGTGATACTGATTTTGGATGATAGATTCTAGAATTACAAGAGGATAAATTTCTGTCATTGTACGCCCCCCCCCCCCCACCCTTTGTGGTAATTTGCTACTGTAGCCACAGAATGCACCTGGACAGTTATGAAGAAATTATTACCTGAAAACATTCATAAACAGAGAAGCATTATACACATATCCTCATGACTATATTCGATTATGGGGGAAAAAATGATGACATTGGTTTCCTTTAAAAATTTAGTGTTAGAGGGTTGATATGGTATCTCTGAATAGGAAGGCCGGTTCCTCCTCTCCCTCTTGCCTTCTCCAAAGGACTGACTTTGTCAGACAAGGAAGAGGAGCATCATTTCTTGAGGTCTCTACAGCACCTGCCTTGACTCTTTCAGCCTCTTAGCTGAGAAGACCAACAAGGAACCCAGATGTTGGAGACCCAGCCCTACAGCTCACTAGACGTCAAGAAGGGATGGACAGACAGATACATCTGCACATCCCCATGCCCTAGCAATAGATTTGAACCTGTAACTCAGAACTTACTAGTTTTTTATGCCTCTTTCCTGTGCTCTTCCCTGGTGGTGTTGTTTTATTCGTTTGCCTACAGGGATTTCAGAATTTGCAGCTCGCTCTCTGAACCGGATTAGAGAGCTGTGTTTGTGTTGGTGGCTGATAATATTAAGATTGCTCGAAGAACATTAGAGAAATTATAACTAAAACAGGAAATTAGAAACAGTTTTAATTCCTCTTGGGATCTCTGAAAACAGCAATTGTGATTCCAGAAAGCAGATACAAATTGCTTGCAAATTCAGTTTGCTAAGCAAATAGGTCTCGTTGTTTAAAGTGGCTAGCCCTGTTTACTCTCTGGTGAAAGAGGCCCTCTGACTAAAAGGCCATATACCAAACTTTAAAATGGCGTGAACAGTAGCTTCTATGTTATGTATGCTTTATCACAATTTTTAAAAGGTCCGTGTACAGATAATATAGTGCCCAGGATCTGCCAGGTCAAACCATAATTTTTTCCCTCTCCTTAAAATACTGTTTTGCCTTTTTAAAACAATGCACCTCTATGTCACACATTAATACGATGGCTCTGATTTCCTGCATCAGGATAATTTATCTCTTAGATCTCATAAAATTATTTTGTGCAGTGTGGATGGTGCAAGCTTGTTCAGCTTGATATTAAAAGTGAGCCATCCTAATCGTAATTCATTTCTAAAGTGGGCCCTTCCTTGGGTTGTAACCTGAGTCAGTTAGCAGGACTGGTTCAGTAAAAGAGATTTGGAGCCGTTTCAATGTCTCAAGTCATGTTGCATTCCTGTTTTTCTTTGCCAACCTCAGAAAATGCCCAGGCTCCCATATTCCCACATTTTCTCAATAGGGCCCAGCCTCCTACTGAGCCAGCAGGTCAGATGGGTGCCCTCCGGGGGTGTGTGTGCATGGACTTTTTGGCATGTGTGTGCTTCTTCTTGCATGGGTGTGGTGTATTTTGGGGGTGAGGGGTGCGTGTTCATGTAGAAGGATTTGAATTCTGCTCCATTCATTCTGGTCCTTCCTGGGCCTGAGTCATCAACTGAAGCTTAAACTTCTGGTCTAGACCAGAATCCAAGGCTGATGTAAGAACGTCTACAAGAGGCTGCCTGTCTGCATTGAGCAGGCCTACGAGGGGGATTTTTTAAAACCCTTTTGTGTGGTAAAACAATTCCAAAATTTTCCTCTCTTCTGTCTAGAACTGGGGAGGGCTGTTGAATCCTATATATATTTTGTGTGTGTGTGTGTGTGTGTGTGTGTGTGTGTGTGCGCGCACGCGCGCGCTTGCCAGCAAGTGCCAAGGAAGACTTGGTACTAGAACAGTGATGGTGAACCTATGGCATGCGTGTCAGAGATGACCTGCAAACTCATTTTTCTGGTTGATTTTTCTTTGTTAAATGGCATTTAAATATATAAAATAAATATTAAAAATATAAATCTTTGTTTTACTATGGTTGCAAATATCAAAAAAATGTCTATATGTGACACGGCACCAGAGTTAGGTTAGGGTTTTTCAAAATGCTGACACGCCGAGCTCAAAAGGTTCGCCATCGCTGTCCTAGAAGCTCCTTGGGTGGGGTTAAGAAGACTGCCAGGGAGGATGGGCATCCAGGAAGATCTCGCTGGAGCTTGCACCTCTGAAGGGAGCGTTAATCCCATCTCTTCCAGTGCTCAATCCCAGGCAGGTCCCCTTCCAGCAACCCTGAGCCATGTTTCTCAGCCTCCGCCCAGACACTTGCGGCAGTGAGAGCTCCTACCCAGTGCAGTCTGTTGTTGAACAGCTCTCACTTTTATAATGTTGTAAATCTTAAGCAAAATCTTCATTTTGGGGTGCATTTCAGCAGCTGGTTCCCAGCTGTGTCCTCTGTGGGACATCCATTGTGTTGTGTAAAATTGTACCCCATGTATGCACTCCTCCCCTCTTTACATTCAGAGCATCATGACTGCTGGGGGGAAGGGGGCGGGGGGGATTTGACCGGGACACTGTATTTCCCTGGTTTACTTACCAAATTATCAAACAAAGCATTAGGAATGGCTGCTATTGCAATGAGTGCTTGCAGAGTGTCAGGCACCGGGCTCAGTGTTTTCTGTCTGTTATCTCATTAAAACCTCCCAATAGCCCTATTGGAAATTGCATTATCTTTACTTAGGGAAAACCGAAGCTAAGGGAGGTTAAGTAATTTGCTCAAGATCATCTAGCTAGTAAATTTATGGACCTGGGATTTGAAGTCAGGGGTGCCCATGCCTGTTTATAGACTCAGACAAAGCAAAAAAAGAAGTCATGGAATCAGACAGAAGAAATAAAGTAGCTGATTGTTTTTTGCCTCCTCCAGGGATAGCCATTGGAAATCACCCTGCTGCTCAGAAATGCCTTTTATAGGATACTAGAGGCCTGGCACACAAAATTCGTGCACTCAGAGTGGGGGGCTCCCTCAGCCTGGCCTGTGCCCTCTCGCAGTCTGGGAGCCCTCGGGGGATGTCCGGCTGCAGAAGAGGCAGGAGAGGCTCCCGCCACCACAGCTGCGCTCGCCAACCGTGAGCCAGCTTCTGGCTGAATGGCGCTTTTCCTGTGGGAGCGCACTGACCACCAGGGGGCAGCTCCTGCATTGAGCGTCTGCCCCTTGGTGGTCAGTGCTCGTCATAGCAAGCAATCAACTGTTGGTTGTTCTGCTGTTCGGTTGATTTGCATATTACCCTTTTATTATGTAGGATTTGAAAGGGGATGAAGGAAAAGTGCTCAGAGCTTTACTGGGTTCAGAGGCGAGGCCCAGAGTGCGTGGTGTGTGTGGGGAGGAATGGAAGGGAGTTATGGCAGCCCATGCACCCTGTCAAGTGCCCCTTGGGGCCATGAGCAGAGCCAGGTCACCATTCCCTCGTGCCTGTGCAGGCTCGGGCTGCAGCCCTCTTCCAGAGGAAATTAAACTAAGGTTGTTGTTTTTTCATCTTTGAAAACAAATGTTGGGAAGTAAATTAGGCCATGATGTAGCCCAGTGGGTTTTTTTATTTACTTTTATATGGACACATAATCGTATATAGTAAAATGCACTTAGTTCCGGCTCCTATAACAAGATTATCATCAACTGGGTGGCTTAAAATTTCTTTATTACCTCAAGGCTGGGAAGTCCAAGATCAAGGTGCCAGTGGATCTGGTGTCTGGTGAAAGCCCGCTTCCTGGTTTGCCTTGTTCTCATTGTATCTCACATCATGGGGATGGGGGGGAGGGGAGGTAAACTCTGACGTCTCTTCTTACAAGGGCACTAATCCCATTCACAAAGTCTCCACCCTCATGACTTAATGACCTCCCAAAAGTCCCACACATAGGGGTTAGGATTTCAACATAAGAAGCTGGGGAAATACAACCACTTGTCCATACTAGTAAATGCACAATCATAAGAGTACATGTAGTTTCATGAGTTTTGACAAATGTATATACATCTGTGTAGTCAACAACCAATGCAACATGTAGGGTATTTCCATCGCTTAGAGGGTTCTCTCATGCCCCTTTCTACTCAGTCTTCTTCCCCTACCAGAGGTAAGCCATGTTGGTTTGGTGTTTGCTATATACTCCTCATCCCTAGCCATGGAAGCAGGAGAATACAGAATGAGGCTCTGAGAAGAGAGCCAGAACTGGGATACACTCATCGAGGGAGAGGGCCCCTCCTAACATTTTGTGCTCTAGTGCCTCACTCACCCACCCTGCACCCAGCTCAGTTAGACTGGGTGGCCTGTTTTGCTCACACAGTAAATGGCCCCCATGATTGGCTGAATCAAACTCAACAATTTATGTACTTCCAGGATTTGCTGAACATCGACTTTAATGAACATCATGCGTTAAGTCAGTTATAGTTCCCGCTCTACATAAACGATTCATGCACCTTAATACTTAGAAATCCTTAGGAACCACATACAAGCTATCCACCCGCCAGGTTCAGGCAGAGTTTACTGTGACAGCACATCCGAATGGAGTGCGGAGCTGCTCTTTGTCACTTTCTGAGCCTCCCCCATGTAGGCATTGGCTTCCCAAACGAACTGTCATTCAACCTGCTGGATGCGTGGGTGTTCTGCTTCCTCACGAATCCTCGCTGCCAGTGGGTTTCCCAGTTGTATTCATGTGTCTTTGATAGTAGAGGGCACTGTGATCATGATGCGTAGTTTGTAAAGTTTAGAAGAATTCATCTGCACTAAAACATAACCCCAAACCTAGACCGAACATAATTAAATCTTCCCGCCATGACTCCGGAGGGAGTTGAGACCGTTGCAGTCCACCAAATGCATCGTTACAGTTCCTGGTTCAGTCATGTAGGACTTCTCATTAGCCAATTACTAGAGAATTTCAGGTAGTAGACAATCAGGTGTGGTCTCGTATATGCATGGTTTATGTTCAAGATTTTTATAATTCCAGGCAAGAAAACTACACTCAGAACTAAGCTTTGGAGTGAGGCCTTATCTAAAAAATGGGTATGGCTTATAATAGAATTCAGTTCCAAAGTCCGCCATTGTAACTAGAGGCTAGGAACATGAGCTTTGGAATCTGACCTACCTGGGTGCAGATCAGGGCTCAGTTACCTGTGAACTGTGACCTTGGGCAAGCTACTTACCCCCTGAGCCTCAGTTCCCTTCTGTGAAATGGGACTGAGGATTGGCCATGTCCATATGTTTGTGGTGTGGGTTAAATGAGAATGCACATGGAAGGCTTCACGGAGCCTGGCGTGAGGTGCTCTGTAAGTGGTAGCATTTTGAAACAAAGTCAGTGACAACTCTGGTAACCACAGGAGAGCAATTGAGGGGACCTATATTTTGGTCATATATTCTCAGACAGAGATCCCCCTATTCACCAAAGGTGTCATGGGAGTCCTGAGGATATGGAGGTGGCCAGTCAGTGGCCGGGGCCCTAAGGCCCCCACCAGCACCCAAACAGAGCAGCTCTGCTTTTGCCTGTTTCACATGTTAGTTCCTATGGCATCTTTCCTTTGGACGGCTACTCATAAAGTCACGAAAGCTCTGGTTTGGTCCACCCCCTCATTTCATAGATGCGGAAACTGAGTTTCCCAAGCACTCAGCAGAGGTCTCCTAACGCCCAGGCCTGTTCCTTCCCAAGATCCTGCCCTGTCATAGACAGAGACAACTAAAATAGAAGAAAAAAGCCAGTGTTAGCCTGCTATTGTGTTTTCACAGGGTTCTTCCAGCCAGCTTCTAGGACCAAAAATGTCTCTAGAAAAGGAAAGTAGTCATTTTTACCCCCACCCCATAGCTCGGTTTGTAAAACTCCTGGTGTGTGTGTGGACAGTTGGGGTAGCAGGAGTCTTTGTAAAAAAGATACTCGCCTGGAAGTTCTTTCTACTTTGCTCCATCCTGTGGCCACTGACCACACCTCTCTCCATGGCCAGCATCTTGCAAACATACTCCCCGGGGCGCCCAGTGAGAGCACTGGGTGACGTCCTTTCTGTCAGTGATACATCTCCCACCTGGATAGGACACAGGCCGGCGTCCATTCCATGCTCAGTCGCTCACCTTGCACATCCTCTCTTTTCCAGCCTCTCAACATCGCCTACAGCCACATCTACAGCTCCTACAGGAACTTCGTGGGGCCCCCTCACTTTAAGACCATCTGCAGACTCCTGGGCTACCAGGGCATCGCCGTGGTCATGGAGGAGCTGCTGAAGATCGTCAAGAGCTTGGTAAGGACAGGCCACACGAGGCCTGGGATGTGCCCTAGCGGGGTTGATAGGAACAAGATCTGCTGTCACCTTTTACCCGGATCTGAAATCAAGACACTTCAGCTGTGTCTGTAGATAGAGACCTTTCCCATTATCCCTTGGTTCCTCTTACCTGTTGCTCTGTTACATTTCTGTGGTCCTTCTGACTTGTGCCTGTGCCTCTCATTGTCTGACCCTGAGCTTACTCCCTGTGCTTGAGGACTGAACTCAGCAATCCTGACGTTGACCTTCAAGGTCTAGTAATGATTGCTTATAGTCCCCTCCTGTGCCATATTGTCTAATTTCTGCATGGTATACCTATGGCATGGATGCTACCATTTTCGCCTCCCATGCCGCTGGCAGACATCTCTAATCAGTCACCATGCTTCTTCCCCTTGGGATTTCTTGCTAAATTCTACTACCAATACTGCACTGGCCTCAAGCCAATGCCTTTATCACCATTCTGTCTCTGCCCCATGTATGGTCATCTGAACCTTCATTTGATTCCCCGGAACATGTTAAAGCAAGGGTGAAACAAGATTTTCCCGAAAATTTGAACTGATGAAAGAGAAATAAAAAAAGTAATGTATAACCATGTTGGCTATGGCAAGCAGGATTCACTGGCTAACTCTAGTTCTCTGGTAGCAGCTGTGTAGAGCCATGGATTATGAACTGTGACGCTCAATCCAGAAAATGTGAATTGATTAAAGAAGTCTGCCTTGAACACGAGGGATAAGTGTGCTATGGGTTTTCCCTGCTTGAAGAAGAGACTGTCCAGTCTCCACATTTCCCTGGCCCCATTTCATTTCAGCTGTTAGTCTGGGTCCCATGTAAGCCCCCTACTCCAGGAAGGACAGCATGCCTAGAAACTGCCCTCCTTAAAGTCTATAAGCCCAAGGGGCTAATGAGAAAGCTCCCTCTTCTGTCTTCTAAAGGCCCATTTTCCCTTCGAAAGGCACCAGAGCTACTGCCCATCGTTAGGGGAGAACCTGCCCTGTCCTATCAGGGAACAGAGCCTATTGTCTCAGTCAGCTCAGGCTGCTGTAACAAACATACCACAGATTGGGTGGCTTAAACAGAATGCTTATTTCTCACAGTTCTGGAGGCTGGAGGTCCAAGATCAGGGCAATCATGGTCAGGTTCTGGTGAGAGCCTTTCTCCTAGTTCACTGCCTTCTGGCTGCATCCTCTCATGACAGAGAGACATCATCTCTCTCCTGTCTCTTCTTATAAGGACACTAATCCCATTGTGAGGGCCCCACCCTCATGATTAATTACTTCTGGAAGGCCTCATCTCCAAAGACCATCACATTGGGAATTAGGGTTTCAACACGTGAATTTAGGGACATATTCAGCATCGCACTTACCCACAGGTTTCAGCAGAACCCCCATACACCCAGCATTTAGCCTGGAGATGCACCTGAGCAGCAATGGTGGATTATTTCATTTTGTGCTCTTGTTTTCTCAGCTCCAGGGGACCATTCTCCAGTATGTGAAAACACTGATCGAAGTGATGCCCAAGATATGCCGCTTGCCTCGGCATGAGTATGGCTCCCCTGGTAGGTGATGGGGAACCGGGGCAGGGGTGGTGAGAGGAAAATAATGCAAACCCCTCCCGTGGTGGGAAGGGACTCTGACCACCTGCCTTGGAGGGTCTGCTTCTCTAAAATGCCCACACGCTGGCAGAACTCTGGGTTTGCATCCTTCCTCTGCCACTAGCTAGAAGCTAGCCTCCAACCATTTTCATCCCTCTGAGCGGTAGTATTCTTCCGTCAGGGAAGGCAAACGATGGCGGCTGGGCCTCCCTCACAGGCCTGCTGGGAAGCTGTACGAGGATGCAAACGGGAGAGCAAGGTTTACTCATAAAGGTCTTCTTTAGCTTAGCATCTCTAGGATTCCATCTTCCATCGGCCCCAGGTGGCATTTCTAAAGTGAGTCCGGAAACAGGAGTTTTTGCCATTTGACATCTGGGCAGAGAAGTGATTCTTCCCTCAGAGTCAGTGGAGTAGAGACTGAATTGGGGGCTTTGGGCCAGTTTACTGGCTATTGACTAATTTCCCTTGAATACCAATTGTGTCATCAGGGGACTTCCTTTCCTCACCTCTGCCCTGCAGAACCTGGCAGGTTCTAAGTGGTTATGGGATTAGACTCCCCGTGCCCATCACAACCAGCCTCTGGGATCTGCCAACACTCCTTGACCCAGGGACTCCCAAGCCACTAGCCTGCTCCCTAGGTGGCCCTTCTGTCCTCACCACACGTATGTCCAGCTCCTCCCCCCTGGGGAAGACTGAGCAGGTTTTCGGGAAGTTCCCATCCTCGCCCTCACCACTCTTAACCATAAGCGTTGGGAGTTTAGAGGGCTGGGGAGAAACTACAGCCTGAAGCCGTGGTGTTTGGCCACGAGACTAACCCTGACCCTTAGGGCAACCTGCACCTCTGGATTCTGGGTTCACAGACCAAGGCCAAGCCCGTTCTTTTGTTGCCATCAAGGCCCCCGAACGGCATTCTCGGTACTTTTGTTTTTGTACATTTTACTAGAAAGGATTGTAAAATAGCCACTTCGACACTTTACCTCTTCAGTATGCAAATGTAAATAAGTTGTAATATAGGAAATCTTTTGTTTTAATATAAGAATGAGCCTGTCCAATTTCTGCTGTACATTATTAAAGTTTTATTCACAGAAGAAAAAAAAAGACGGTCTGCTGGGTCAGTGTGATTTAGAACAGGAAAGGGCTGGGGCCGAAAACTCTGGTGTTCAGTCTCAGCTGCCCCATGTACTAAGCTGTGTGACTCTGGGCATGCCACTTACTCTCTCTGAGCCACATCTGAAAACGAGAGTAAAACTGCCGATTCATAGTGTTGTTATGAGTATCAAATGAGGGATTGCAGATAAAGTCCTTAGCGCAGCATCTCACACTGCTAAATAAATGTTAATGTCTGTCGTTATTAAGAATTCAGGTAAGTTTTTGGAAGGACTAGGAAAGACCCAGGGCTGCTCAATGTGTGTGTGTGTGTGTGTGTGTGTGTGTGTTGTTCCATAAAAGATTGGGACCCGCCTCCTGGTCTTCCTCTAGCACTGAGCCTGAAGGAAGCCTTACCCCAGGGCCCTCAGGTTTGGCTTTTGGCTGTCCCTGAGTCAGGTCTGGGGCTGCTGCTCAGTTGACAGGTCCCATGAACCCGGCTGAGCTGTGTCACTTCCCCGCTGACGGCCCCCCTGTACCCCCAGGAATCCTGGAGTTCTTCCACCACCAGCTGAAGGACATCATTGAGTATGCAGAGCTCAAAACAGATGTGTTCCAGAGCCTGAGGGAAGTGGGCAACGCCATCCTGTTCTGCCTGCTTATAGAGCAAGCCCTGGTGAGTCCTGAGCCCAAAGGGGAGCATCACAGGCTGGGAGGAACCCGCCCCCCGTCAGACTCCTGAGGCCCCACTGCACCTGACCAAGGCCTGCAGCAAGATCCATGCTCTTCTGGTGGGGCCCAGACCCCATTTTTCTGTGTCAGAGAGCTCGACCACCTGAGTGCTAGAGAAGAACAAGGGTCCCACCCCGCCCACCTTCACTAGCAGCTAGACCTTGGCCATCTGGGAGTCTTAATTTTCCCATCACTCGTTAAACAAATAATGACTCGTTGGCTGCCATAGGACAGGCACTGCCCTCCTGGACATAGCAGTAGCCAGTCCCTGCCTCGTGTCCTGGACAGTCACAAGGAGACCCATACTGAGCAGTATTTACCCAGAAGTGATGTGGTCACAGTGACAGTCAGTGCCATGAGGGACGAGTGCAGGTTTTAATGGGACATAGAACCGAGAGCCTGCTGTGGGGTTGAGGGTGAGTGAGTGAGGGTGTTGATAGCCTGCGCCTGGCCAGGTGCAGGTCTGAGTGGAAGATAAATGACCAGGAACAAGGGAGACAGATTATTACTATTTTTATTCTGGAGAGGGAGGCGGTGGAAGAAGTAAATAAGCAGAGATTGTGCATGCAGGTGGTGCACGTGCTGTGAAGCACTCAGCAGGGAACTAGGACACACAGAGAGTGATGGGTGTCGGGAGAGGATGAGGCTTGAATGTCTTTAAGAAAAAGCAGCCCATAGTGAGCGGGACTGCAGAGGGTAAGGGGACAAGGTCGGGGCTGATGGGGGAGAAGCAGGTGGCCACAGTCCCTGGCCATCCCCTTGTGAGATGGAGAGTGAGGGGGTCTGATGGACTTTCTTTAAAGGCCCCTTTGGCCATTCAGAGGACTGGCTGGAAGGTGAGTCAAGGACGAGGCTTTTGCAGTAGTCCATCCCAGGGGTCACCTTGCAGGCAGGCACATGGAGAAGGGAGGGAAAAGGAAGGAATTAGGAAGGAGGGGGACAAAGGTGGAGAGAGATGTGAAGGGGGCCATGACAGCGAGAGCTCAGACGAAGAGCCCAGGAAGGTCCTTGCTTCCCGTTGTCCGTAAGCCGGCCCAGTGCACACCTCAGGGTTCCATCTCCACCGGAGGGACACGTACGCACTGGAAGGTCTGAAATATGCAGGTTTGCTCTTCCTCCATGAGTAATTGCCTCTCTGCTCCCCTTTAGAAGGACTCTCCAGACAGCTAAGTGTTCCTCTTTATAGAAACAGGTTTATAACATGGTTCAGTGGGCCTGGGTTGCCATGGCAACGTAGCCTTCAGCAGTGGTGGGGATGAGATAAGTAGGAAGCACCACTCTGCTCAAGGCCTCAGGAAGATGAGGAGATGCTGCAGGGGCCCTGGGGGGAGAGGAGTGAGGGGGGA